TTTCACCTAGTTACAGATCCATGTTCTGTTCTCAGTGGGATGGAGTTGGCCCTATACCTGGATTTTCCAAGTCTCCTAAAGGGGTGGAAATGCTCTGGCACCCATCAGTGGTGAAGCCGTACCTAACGCTTCTGGCAGAAAGCTCCAACCCTGCTACTCTAGAGGGCTCTGCAGGATCTCTCCAGAATCTTTCTGCAGGCAATTGGAAGGTACATTAATTCCTACTTCTGCTCCTATAGTTTTATTTTAGCTGGATTTTTTAGTAAGATTCTGAAATGTGTACTAGAAAATGACGTGTTCCTTCCAAACACATCTGAGCATTTCTCCCTAGTGTGTATCAGCAATGCCTGTGTGCTGCAATACTGTTGTTTCCCCAGTGAAAATCAATGACGGGGATGGTAGACGTGAAGAGCAATATGGAAACTGGCCTTGAAATTGGTGGCGTTTATTTTCAGTGAAGAGACAAAGCTTTCTTCCAGTGCATATTGCGTCAAAATAAACTTCTAGCATCTTCTAGCTGTAAATTCTGGTGGGAAGATACTGTTTAAAAAAGGCCAGCATAAATAAATTGTTTGTGTTTGCTTTATTATTTGTATTATCTAATTCCATATTTTCTTGCTTGTGGCCCTTGCATAGAATATGTTATAAAAGCACCTCTTTACTAATGTTATGTATTTGTCATGGACAGATGAAAAAAAAAAAATTATTGCTTTCTTTACCTGTAGAAAAACAGCTCAAATTTTTAATTCTATGGCCATTATAAAATTGGTCCTCAAAAACACAAACAAAAGAAAAAAAAAACACAACTCTGTTCCCTTTTTAACAGTTTGTCTGTTAGACTAATTCTTTTAAATGTTACTTTGTAAGAGGAATGAGTGGAAAAGAGACACCCCTTTATAATAAGATATGCATTTAACACTTATCTTTGGAAAATATCCCCTAACATACGTAAAACTTGCAAAATAATAAGAGATTATTTTAATCAGAACATTGTAGTAGATTTGTGAGTAACGGAGTTTTATTGTAGTTTGCAGCATACATTCGAGCTGCTGTGAGGAAAGAAAAAGGACTGCCAATCCTTGTAGAGCTGCTAAGAATGGATAATGATAGAGTTGTTTCATCTGTGGCAACTGCCTTAAGGAATATGGCGCTAGATGTTCGTAATAAGGAGCTTATTGGTAAGTGCAGAATGGCATTGAAGAAAGCACTGAAATTACCAGTATATCACACCTTGCCTGGGAAAACTATTAGGATCACGAGGTTCTACCGGGAGAAACTGCATACTTGGGTTTACTGTATCATGTCAGTTGTGTCATAGAGATTGATCTTTATGGCAGCAGTAGCTTCTCAGAGTGGTACTGACATTTTAGCTTGCCTGTAACCATCTTGCACAGCAATCTCTTTACAGCAGATGGAGGTTACCCAGCTAAACTAAACTGGACAGGAAACAGGCAGTACAAAGTACGATGGGAAACACCACTCTACTCTGCTGTTTTGCTTTCCTGGCAGAACTTTTCAGAAATGCACCTCCACCTGTTCCCTCTCTCTGTCAGAGCCTGAACTCTGGAAGAATTGTTGGCTTTCCAGATACTCTGAAACCAATTTTTGTATAAAATATTTTGAGACATGAAGTTATATATTATACCCCATCTAGTAATCCGTTTTACTGCCGTTGGTAGGGACAGGAATAATGGGTCTACATGGTCTGAACTCAGACGAAAGTAAAGAGACTGGGGATTCCACCAAATAACAGCATAAATTGGTACATGCAGACATGTTGATGAGCTTGCTAAAAGACTGGCAGTGACAGCGTTTGTGTATGCAGCATTCTTGGGGATTATTTTCCAGTGTGTTTGAAAAGTTGTTTCTCTTGTTTGCAGAATTCATTTTTGGATATTTTCTTCCCCTCAGGCACATTATGCAAATACACAGCTAATGGCTTTGTGTAAAGCTTATTCATTATTCATTGTTATGTATAAATACATGCCTTCAATAAAATCAATTAATCGTTCAATCAAAAGCACAGCCTAAACAGGGGGAAAAAAAAAAAACAAAGCCTTGGCTTTAGTTAATTTCCTTTGTCTGCAGTGTGATTGTTCCTGTGCATCAGTCAGTAACTGAAATCTCAAAGAGCTGCGATCTGATCTCTTGGGGGAAGCAAATAAGAAAAAAATTCCAAGTTACTTTAAGGATTTCGTTAACCTTCCCATAAATGAAGCCTAGGAACACGCACTACTCCTTCAGTCATAATAAACAGATCGTTTTTCCTTGCATAATTCTGCTTTCTTCAAATAAATCCTGTTTACAGATGCTCCTGTTTTAATGCAAAATTCAACTTCACATATTTTTAAGTTAAAAAAAAAATCAAAAATGGATCTTTAATCTTTCAACTTTGTGTAAAATGGAAATTCTTGGCAGGTTTCCATGAGTTTGATACTGTGTTGCTTTTTAGTGCTTTCAGATGCAGTTTTGTGCAGAGTCCTATAATTTCAAATCCTAAGTACCCAAATATATGTTTTTCCTTGGTTCTGTTGATGGGTGTTTGTAGGTAAATATGCCATGAGAGATCTGGTTAATCGACTGCCAGGCGGCAACGGCCCAAGCATACTGTCTGATGAGACTGTAGCAGCAATCTGCTGTGCGTTGCATGAGGTCACAAGTAAAAACATGGAAAATGCCAAAGCCCTCGCTGATACTGGAGGAATAGAAAAGCTGGTGAACATAACGAAAGGAAGAGGTGACAGGCAAGTAGGCAACGAAGTTCATATGTAAGCTGTTTCCATTTAAAATGCTTAAGAATGCAGGAAGTGAAACTGTCCCCTCTTAAACACTTACAGGATTAATAGAACATTTATAGCTTTTCCAAGTCAGCATATGTTAGCAACTTTGTCTGGATGTATCACAATACCTATAGATTAGATCTAGCATGGCTATTTGGCGGGTTGTCAAGGAAAAACTGGCCTACTCAGCAGTTTACCTAGCCTGTGGGATTGTCTCGAGTAGGTTTGCAAAACCAACGCTGATTTGAGAAGAAAGGCTCCCTGCAGACTTCCTTGGGTGTGGTTGCACCAACCTCTGTGGCAGGGGTTTTGTTAGCTGAGTTCAGCACTGGGCTGGATCAAGCACTGTGTTTATTTAGTAGTGATAAAACCTGTCAGAACTGTATGGCTGAGCACCAAGGGACAGAAACACACACTGGCTCCGGAGTCGTTCAGGGTCAACACAAAGCCAGTCCATAGACCCACATGGCCTTGCTCAGCGTTGCTGCCCTGTACTCCTCCGCAATACAACTGATGCAAAGCATGTGAGCAGGGCTCTTGTATAGACCAGGGTGTCACAGATCTCCTTTCTATGGGCAGAAGAAAGCTGATTATATAGTGAGCCCTGTATACTGCCCAGTGTTTAGTCAGATGGTAAAGGAGAGGTAAAGATCTCTTCACTGGAAAGTTGGTCAGTGTGATTTAAACATACCCTATTTTTAACAAAGCTTTTGTCTCAAAAGGAGCTGGGTTATATTTTGAGTATCCACAATTTATAATACTTCATATGTCCAAGGGACCTAGACTCATTTCAGCTGCAGGTGTGAAAGCAGTGATCCTTCATAGGACTTCTTTGGTCTACGGAGACAGTGTGTGAAGTTGTACCTGTGCTTATATTGGTGAGACAATAGGGTACACTAAACAAATTCAAAACCGTGTGAACATATTAAGAGTGTCTGCTCATTGATTAATACTTACCAACTGCAATTTTTTTCAGTCTTTCCTTTCAAAAACTTTACCTGGATGAACCTTCGCAATGACAGAAAAAGGCTTATGTTTAATACAGCTGTCATGCTGTGGCATTTAACGTCGAATCACTGCTCCAGTACCACTACCAGCTTTACTGCTGGGTTGTTGTTGTTTTTTTTAAAAAAGATGGTGTGATTTTATTTTACTAACAGCTAGAGCAGTTTTCCTCACCTTGCTCTCTTGAGAGTGGAAAAGCGTTTTCTCAACCAATGAGTGTTCATTAGTGCAACGCAAAACTGAGAGCAAAGCCTCACTGTGAGGATGTCTGGAGACTTTTAATACCAGCTCTCTTTTATTTGTTCTTTTTCTACAGTTAGGAATTTTGTACAGTGATTTAAAGTATGTCATCTCAGTTTTCATGAAATGCAATAAATAGAATGTTTCTTTTCAGGATTTTCAATTCTTGCAGACAGTGACAGTAGCTATTTCGCCCCTTGTATCTGTATTCCTCGCGTGGGTGACCTGAAGAGAAAATTTCTAGGCTTGAGAGGGAATTGATTGTCACAGTTCCCCAGGTTCTGCACTAGACTGTCGGTGTTGTGTTGCTGACACAGGGGTGTTCATACTGCAGTAATACCGGCAGGCATTAGTGAGACCCAGAGAGGTGACCTGACTTACTTCACAGCATCAAGGCTTAGGCTGTTATGTAACTCAGGAATATTGTTGGTTTTAAGTGGAACTAAGAGTGGCTTTCTAGTAATGCAATATTCTGTACTTCCTTAGATCGTCACTGAAAGTTGTCAAGGCAGCTGCCCAGGTACTGAATACATTATGGCAATACCGAGATCTCCGGAGCATTTATAAAAAGGTAAATTACAAAATTAGCCTACACTGGAAAAGAGGTCTACAAAACTGCCTGATTTAATGAAAAGTGATTTATTTTGAGGTTCTTCTCTTTTTTTGCCACTCCACAGGATGGATGGAATCAAAGTCATTTTATTACACCAGTGTCAACACTAGAGCGAGAGAGGTTCAAATCACATCCGTCCTTATCAACAGCAAATCAACAGATGTCGCCTGTCATACAGTCAGGTCAGTCAGGAAATGTAGAGAAATTTCCTGAAGGGGTACCTGGTATCCTTTTGGGGTTTTTTGTTTGTTTTTTTATTCAAATAGCCTCTCAGTTTCCTACTAATTCTGTGTAAAACAGGAGGGTCATGCTGTCTCTCCTCTATATTTAAACATAAGTACTTCACGTACTCTTAATGTTACCTGAGCTGTTAATGTTGGCAGGCTTTGGATTCCAGAGGATTTGTGAGCTCCACTACATTAGCATTGTAGTTTGGATAAGAAGCACCTGGAAACAAATCTCCCCACTTACTCGTTAATGCAATTCAAGCTGTAGTCTCACAATCTGTGGAAAGAAAGCATGTCTTTCATGCCCAGTAATACAGTACAGTACTGCAGTACAACAGACAGGACTGATGCCTTTGTTTAGTGCCATACAACAGCAGACTGCCGTCACCAGTTACAGAGGATTTGTTATTCTGATCCTACTGTGTTATACATTTGGTTTTCTCCCAGCCCTTCATCTAAAAGGATGTCCTGACCCAGTGTCTTTGTCAGCCTCAAACCATAGGATACTGAAGGCGGTTTTTACTTTTACGCCTAGGTGCCAAGTTGCACATACTGGCACCAAAACACTACAGACTATTTGACACAGACTGCTTTGACACAGATTACCTCATGCCTACTGCCAGCACCAACAATATTTTCTCAAAATAAGCAAGGAAGCAAACACAGCTTAGGCTCAGGGAACTGACCAGATTCTACCAAAGTGCAAAAGGTTGTACCAGTACCTACTGTCTGATTCTCATCTCGGTGCTTTCTCTCCCAAGATTTGCTAGCACAACAACTATGTTTTTCCAGTTCTTTGAACTACCAGTAGGAGTTAACATGTGCAGCTCTTGCACAGTATTGAGGCGGTCGTACTTCAGAGAACACTTAGTAAAAAATTCTAATAGGAAGTGTCTGCTTTTCTGCTGCAGAGCATGAACCAGTTTAAGCTGGCAAGGTGGAAGTCTGGTGTAGGGAGCATGTCCACAGAGGGCACTGTCACTCCATCATTAACGCACCCATCAGAATTTTAATGACATCCCCAAATTTAACTTTTTTACCCGTGAACATGCAGGATAATGTGATTAAGCTATCCATAAGAACACAAAATTGTGAGATATGATGTAATGGACACAGCTAATTGATTAACATTTTGAAGGCAAATTTCTAGAAAATATTTTTAGGTATATATCTGCTGTGTGGAGTCTTTCTAAGCCAACAAAACCTGAGGTGTCTGTAAAAGAGGGACGGTTAAACAAAACAAATGTTTTACAACCACGGCAGAGACTGAGCTGATCACTGTAAGAATATGAAATAAGTAAACCATTGTGCCAGTCTTATGAGGGTTGTCACCAAATGGAGCACAAGATGCCAAAGATACGCTTCTGTGTGCTAATCAAAGAACAGTAATACAAACGTATACATGGAGCCCTTCAGCCAGGCAGACTGTAAATTCTTCTGTCCTGTCCCAAGTGATAAGACGAACTTAAAGATTCTGTTTAAGTGTAACATATAAAATCATAAACGGTAGCGGGAATGTCGTCTTAAATGCAACTTAAAAGTCATATGCAAACTGAAATGGGTAAGGTCTCTTATTTCAATTATAAGCATTATAGAGCAGTGATTCACCATTAACATAGGAAATTATTATCTCATGCTACATGGTTGATAGCTTTTGTTGTTGGGGTTCTTCCTCCAGGAAGAACTCTCGTCATTTTGTCCATTACCCACATTTTCCTCATTTGTTAATCCTTGAGGGAGAAGGGATGAGGAGAGAATGAAGAGGAGATTGGGTATGGGAAAGCTTTTTGCTGTACACACTGATAATCTTTTCTTTTACATCAGTTGGCAGCACATCCTCATCACCGGCTTTATTAGGAATTAGAGAACCCCGCTCTGAATATGAGAGAACGCAACCTTCTATGCAGTATTATAATAACCAAGGCGATGTCATTACCCATAAAGACATATATACTGGTAAGACAGTGGTTAGGTGAACTTTCAACTGGAATACATAAATATTCCTTATATGAGCAGTTTATACAGTAATAGTAGAGGCAGTTGCATTAGCAGGTTTGTTACCATTTAATGTTGTTTTCCATTTTTACTCATTATATTCACTGCCTGTGGAACAGCATAGGAATTTCTTCTGTCTCTCCTATTGTCTTTAAAATTGCACACATTACCAGAATAAGGAAGATCTGTTTATATAGTGGGAGGTGAGAGGTGTTTGGAATTTTTATTTGTATTTAAAATCCTATTACAGAAAATTGTTTTATTATGCACATCATATATATATTATAAATAATAACGTATGGTTCTGTATTACTGTAATTTAATACTGTTATGTTATTAAATTATACCAAGATTTCATCTTTTCCTTACTATTTGACGCAAAACAACAGAGATGGTAGTGAATAAAGAGAAGGAAAATTTGTTTTAAATGCTATTAATCTGTAAAACGGAGAACAGCAACACAAAACCCTTTTGTTTTCAGATTAACTATTGCTGAGGGGAAAAAACCTGCCTATATTGTGTTGCTGTATTATATTATTAGTAGATACTAAAATCTGGAGACTTAATAGGGTGCTACACAATTTCTTCTAGGTAACTTAGAAGCAAATAGACTTATAGACAAAAGCATAGAGGCTGAAGTTTATGCCATAAACTGTTTTCTCACAGGTTCCAGCAAAGCTTCACCAATTTACATCAGTTCCTATTCCTCACCAGCAAGAGAACAAAACAGACGACTACAGGTGACTCCAAAATTTTATTGTGAAGTGACACAGATAACAAGACTGTGTTCAGTGTTTAGTGGAGCTTCAGGGAGTTTGAGCATACTTTGTAATAGTAGAGTGCCTTTTTACAGTGTGTGTCTATAGCAAAGTGAATTTGTTATTAGACATTACTTACTGCCACTTGCTTATGTACCTCTGTGTCCTCCTATAGTCCTATAGTTCTGTATTTTAGCCTGCTCTTGTACTGGGATCTGAGACTACTTTTCTGACCTGATGTGATTTTGGATGGGTTTGGGGTTCTTTTTCAGTTCTGTACTTTCTGCTTATGCTCTAAAAAGGCTACTTTTGGAAAAGTTACTGGCTTCCCAATGAGTGCAAGAGGAGACAGGGAGGCAGGCTTAGAGGCTTTTCCTGCATTAAGTTTAATTTACAGATGAGGTGCATTTCCTGTACCTCATTGTAGGGTGACACCAATGTTACTGTTATCACTGGTTGAGCTGCACTTAACTTTTTAGGGAAAGGTTCTGTCTGATGTGCAAGTTTGAGAAACAAGTATTTTCTCTGCTAGTAGTATTTTGAAAGCTTATTTTTCCATCATTCTGTCAACAGCATCAGCAATTGTACTACAGTCAAGAAGACACCAACAGAAAAAACTATGATGCGTACAGATTGTATCTGCAGTCCCCACACAGCTATGAAGACCCATATTTTGATGATCGAGTTCACTTTCCTGCTACTTCAGATTACACAACACAATATGGACTGAAATCAACCACAAATTACGTAGACTTTTATTCCACTCGACGATCTTCTTATAGAGCAGAACAGTACCCAGGCTCACCTGACTCCTGGGTGTAGCATCAAAGAGAAACAGCAACAACAGTGCATTCCTCATCTTGCGTGAGAAGGAATGGAGTGGCTTCTTTTGTTGTTTTGGTTATGAAATGTGAAAGATGAAAGAAGGAACAAGGAAGATGGGGTTTTTTGTTTGTTTTTTTGTTTGTTTTGGGTTTTTTTTTGAGTGAGGAATTGTCAGGTAGAAAAACTGGAAAGGATGGGTTTTGCTGTTTAGATGTTAGGTATAATTACTTGTAGCTCCTGTAGTCTGGTGAGGGTGTGGGCGATGTGATGAAAGGTTTGAGAATTGAGGAAAATGAATTTGGAAGTGTGTAGGTCAGAGCAAATTAAAGATGATTTTTTTTATGTGAATAAAAGTCTCGTTCTGATAGTTTGTACAGAAAAAATAAAATGGCTGCCCTTGTTTTATTGCTATTACTAAATGTCACGATTGTATGCTACTACGTCTTGTACATTTCTGCTGTTGGTGTAAATATGGAAATGCCACGTTGGTTTAAAGTGCCATCCATTTGTAATGCGGTGCGTCATTTTAAAAGGAATTTGAAACATCATGCACAAAAAAAAATCCAAGAAAATGTTATAAATTTTAAAAAGAAAAAAAAGTTTTAAAGCTGAATAGCATCATTTTGAAGCACAAAGTCCAGTCCAATATATCTGCACCTCTCCCATTCCCTGCCTATTTCATAAGAAATTTCACTGCCATTTTCTATGCACATGGAATAACAATAAATATGGAAGTCTCATCCATGGAAAGCTGTTCCCTGTTTTGTTTTTGATTTTTTTTGTGTGTGATATTCAGAAACAAATATGATTATGAAGTCTGACTGCATGTTTTTAAGCAGGTTAAAGATATCAAAACATTTGGGCCATTTTTCCAGCTTGCTTCAGTTCGTATATTCTGAATTTGTCAGGCTGGCAGACCAAAGTGTTAAATTATGCACTTTCCTCCTCCTGCTCCTTAAGCTGGTATTTTTACTTCTGATATGGGCAATCCAGGATATTTCAGAAGTCTGTCCTGTTTCCTTCCCCTCGCTCCTCTCTACCCTTCCCGTTGCTCTCCCCAGGAAAATTAAGATGATCTCGCTTTCATAGAGATTTTAGTCTCCATTTTGACTACGTTCTCCTTGTTTATTTACAGTAAAAATCTTTCCTTATTTCAAGTAACTAAATCACATACTTTCCTCATGACACAGAGTCTGTTAACTTTTTACTGTCTAAAATTGTAATTATTGGTCTCAGTCATTGCACTTTTCTTTGGTTTTCAGTGTTTCTAAATACCCTGATTGCATCAGTGAAATGAGAAAAGATAAGCAGAACTACTCTAAGTGTAGATTGTAAGGCAAATTCACCTTTCCTTAATGGCTTGGGCTACTTCAGCCAACTGAGTGTAAAAGGGAAAAGAAATTAAGGGGTAAGCAGCACAGTAGAAGTAGAGGGTTAGGCCTTCACTCCAATACACAGCCACATAGTTCTGCACGGGGTACAGCGTGTGGCTTGTGTTGCTGAGGTATTGTGCAGATGGTGCCTTGCCTAAAAGTTTATTTTTCCTTTTAAGGTAGAAAATAGTTTTCTTTTAGTCGACTTTTGAGTTTCTTTCTTGTAACAATAATTTTGACACCAGTCTGTCAGTGGTGTTCTAACTGCCTCTAGTCATGTGCAAGCTGATTATCTGGTATGCCTTAAAGCCTACTATAGGTCATAA